TTGGGTGGTCTAAGATAACAGGACTCAGCTTCCCCAATGCTGGAAGGTTTCAAACCTCCCCATATCTCAGCCAAACAAGTATGGACTAATCTAGTTGGTCTGAGCTGAGCCCTGGGATTCTGATGTTTCAGAAGCTTCCTGGGGTGCCACCTCTGCTGATCCATGGACTATAGTTTGAGTAGCTGACATAGAACAATTCATTTGAGAATAATAAAGTTAGAGACATTAGAGGCACAGCCTTGGATCTGGGACTAGGGCAGACAGAGAAGCTGTGGCATCAGACGTACCCTGCTCAGCTTCCTGAGGCTGTCAAAGTTTAATCACACAGATGTGTGTGCTCACACCTGAGATGATATGTGCCATATCGCTAACACTGTGCTACACAGAAAGATAAATGTCATGCAATCTCCCTTACATGTGAAAGCCAAGGTGTCAATCTCACAGAAATTGAGAGTAGAGTATCTTAGTTAGCAGGGGACGGAGGCAGGGGTTTGATCACCTGAATGGGATAGGACAGGATAAGATGAGTAACTTCTAGTGTTACAGTATGGTGGCTATGGTTGACAACATTTAACTATATTTTAAAATCACAGGTAGAAAAGATTTTTTTTGAGGTTCCCAAAGAAATAAATGACAAATGTTTGAAGTGATAGATATGCCAATTGTCTTGATATGACCATTTATATTGAAATGTATAATGTGTTGAAAAGTCACACTGTGCTCCGTAAATATGCACAATCATTATCTGTCAATTTAAAAAAACGTGCTACAGCCTTTTCTCCACACCCTACATCATGTGGGTAACACATTCAGCCTGGAAGTTTGAGCATTCATTCTGGAAGTTTCCTTTTGAGTCTCAGTCACAGGGGTGACTTTAAAAAGCAAATGCCTGAAACACCTGATATCCAGGCCCAAGTGCCCGACTCTCTGAATGCCACTAACCTCAGCAGACAGATGAGGCTCTTAATTGATATTAACGTATTCAAGTGCCAGCGACTGACGCTCCAAAATGAATGTGATGGTCTGGCTCGCTCCCTTCCCAGATCTGACAGCTGCTGACTGCCAGCCACACCAAACATACCAGGCACCACGGAGAAGAGAATCAAGACGGTTGGGTCACAGCCAGATCCCAAGGCACCTTTCTCTGGTCACGGAATAATTAACTGACACCTTAGATGACCTCAGCCCATAGTTCTCTAGTGTCCCATGATCTTTAAACAGATCCACACTGGGAAGATGGCTGGAGAGGAAGCAGGGTTAATAGGGTAGTTTTCTACACACAGACTTTGTTTAGAATTTAAATCACTTGCTGATTTTTCTATTAAGCCTTGCTCCAAATACGAACAAAATAGAACATGTGGCCAAACAGAAGGCCTGGCCCAGACAATACAGGAAAGATACAGGCCTAAGTTCACGCTGAGTTTGGGATTCTCTGGGGAATGGGCTTGGGAATCTCCTGACAACCCCATAGGTTTACACAGAGGATGCTGGCGTGAGTCCTCCAGGGCTCACCCCC